GATGTGGAGGATGGGAGCGATCCTATTGGGATGGGCTTGGAGCAGGACTTCAAGCAACTGCCATCCCTCCCAGAAGGCCTGCCAGCCCCCTGCACTTCAGCTGCCAGGAAGAACTGCAGAATAAATGAGGCCGCTGACATCCTTTTGTTCTTTTTCCAGATACTCTGAAACTAGATTAAAAGGCATAGTTTGGGATAGAGGGCTTGAGTGTGTTGATTCTAAAATCTAAAGAACCGTCATGTAGTTTGGCTTGTACTTTGTCCCCCTCTCCCTGCCTCCAGCTCCCCAAGTTGCATAAGAGTTGCATTTATGTTGCTTAGAGAACCCCTGCCAGGTCCCTGGTCAGTGCTGTGTTTGTCTTGTTCTTCAGCATAGAGCTGCAGACTCGGGAGCTGAACAGCCAGATCCGGTCAGGGGTGTACGCCCACCTGGCTGCTTTCTTCCCATGCAGTAAGGACACTCTGGTCAAGCGTGCCCGTAAGCTTTATCTCTACGAGCAGGTGAGTGAATTTGGCAGCACAGCCCTGCCTCGTGTGCATGTTACCCCTGATCTCCAGAGCACGGTTGTTGTCTGCCTAACGTGGTGCTGTCCTCCACTGAGCATGGTTCAGGCAGCACATCTGGTGGTGTGGATTCAGAACTGGCCAGGTCTCGACCTGCCAGATTTGGGTGTCTTGGCTGGAACACACCACGCGGAACTTCATTCTGTTCTGTGACTGCTCTAGGGTGGCCGCTTGAAGGAACCTCTACAGAAGCTAAAGGAAGCCATTGGAAGGGCCATGCCAGAGCAGATGGCCAAGTACCAGGAGGAATGCCAAGCCCATACTCAGGCCAAGTTTGCCAAGTAAGCTCCTTGTTTGCTTGTTATGCATCTGTAGCTCTTCTCAGCAGGCTCCCTGTGACCTGTAGGCTGCTTTCATGAAGTTTGTCACCTATTTTTGTTCTGTAGTTAAAAATTGCTGACGGGCATCAATTGGCCTAATTAAGCTGCGTGCGTTCTTTGTGCTACCTATGGCAATGCCAACTACAGCAGCATCAATGGGACCAGAACTTGGCTGGTGTTTCACTTCTGTGCGGCCATGTCTTTAGGAACGTGGCAGTCTCAGAACAGTAAGGCTGGATTAGTCCCGTGGTCTCTATCACACAATACTGGGAGCTTTCTTAACCTTGAGCACTTTGCTCAGCTTGCACCCTAAGGCCCTCTTCTCATGCGTGTGTTATCACTGACTATTGAAACCTCTGAACAGTGTTGTTCAGAGATACTTAATCCTGTTCTTGAATCTCCAGGACAATGACTTTCACGTTATCTCTGTCTCCGTTTTAGGATGCTGGAAGAGGAAAAGGACAAAGAGCAGCGAGATCGAGTTTGTTCTGATGATGATGAGGATGAAGAAAAGGGAGGGAAGCGTGTCATGGGACCGCGAAAGAAATTTCAATGGAATGATGAAATCAGGTTTGCGTAATTTAGATACTAAGTGAACCCGTGGCTTCTCTTATTCTGTGCAGTTGGAAGTGAAGCATTTTGGTATTTGTATCTTGTTTTCAGAGCAGCGCTGAACATCTGTAGTAACAGTCAGCTTGGAGGTTTGTGGCAGACTGTGGTGTTTATGGAGCCACTGTTGCATTTATTAAATCTCACCCTTATATGCGTTGCAAAATTAAGCTGATTTCAGGCACCGGCCGGCTCTGAGAGAAGTGCTAAGAAGCCTCTGTGCTGAGGCCAAAAGAGAGGGACAGATCTTTGGGAAAAGAAGGAACTTGGCTGAATTGCTGAAATCCTGCAGACTAGACTCTCAACAAGACCAGATGCTGGTTGTGAAAGCACTTAAAGCTAATTGGGGATGGGCGCCCCCGGCACCCAGGTGTCTGACAAAGAACAGAGTGCTGGGTGAAGGGGAGAGTGACGAAAGATAAAATGAGACTCAATCACGCTGTCTTCTTGATCTTATTCTGTACCAAATTGGGGTGCTGCTCCGTAGATGGCTGATTCATTTAGAACAAAGCAAGCTTCACTTCCTGCCTTCTCATTGCCTCTCAGCACGAAGGTCTGCAGAGGGGTTCAGTTCTGTGGTTGTTAATGACGCCTGTAATTCTGGCGCTGGTTTACTACCTCTGCTGTTTCAGGAGATTGAAATGGGAAGGGGTAACAAGGCTTTTCTCCCCTGGCGCATTGATGCGCGTGCACACGCAGAGCGAGGAACGTGCCTTTCCCTTCCTCTTTCCTGTGGAGGCAGTGCAGGGTCGGTTTTATTAGCGAGGTGCTACACAGAGCCAGGCGTGTCTTGGCGTATTTATCCAGCCCTGGATAAACAGAATGACCTCCAACTGGGGAAAGTTAATTCGCGTAACTGTATTTGAAATCTTCCTGTTCTTCAGGGAGCTGCTTTGCCACTTGGTGAAGATTAAGTTGGATGGTTATGACCTTGACAAGAATAAGGCTCAGTCCCTAGAGGATTATGTGAAGACCTTCCTAGATGGAGAGGTGAAGCCCCTTTGGCCAAAAGGCTGGATGCAGGCCAGGTGAGCAAGAATCGAGTTGTACTGTAGGGATTCCTTGTCCTAAGGGACCTCGGAAGGTCATTAGTCCTAACCCTGCTCAAAGAATGGCTAGCTTCAAAGTTAGATTGGAGTGCTCAGGGCCTTGTCCTGTGGAGTTTTGGACATCTCCAAGGATGGACATTACCACAGCATCTCTCTGGCTCCCCTGTTCTGGTACTTAATCACTCTTCATTAAATCTTTTCTCCTTTTTTCCAGTCAGAATTCCCCTTGCTGCACTGAACTGAATATTCCCTCTTTTTGCTTTATACTGTGCACCTCTGAGAAAGATCTGGCTCCATCTTCTTCATGGCTCCCTGCCCCCTCCACTCTTTAGGTAGTGGAAGACTGCTGTTAGATCCCTCCTTGGTCTTCTCAGTTTCCAGGCTAAGCAAACCCAGTTCCCTCAACCTCTCCTTGTCTGTTGTGTCCCTGCTCCTCAGTCATCGTAGTGGCTCTGGACTGTCTCCAGTTTGTTGGCATCACTCTTGCATTGTGGGGACCCTGAAAATGGATGCTGTATCCAGATGTACCTCACAAGTGCTAAACAGAGGGGAGTAAGCACTTGAACTGCTGCCTGTGCTCTTGCTAATACCTGCCAGTATATAGTTAGCTGTCAGCAGTACACCCTTGCAGCAGTGGCTTATATTCAGCTTGTCCACCAGGACCCTCAGGTCCTTTTCTGCAAGGGTGCTACATAGCCAGTTGGTGCCCAGCCTGTGTGGCTGTGTGGGGTTATTCTATCCCAGCTGCAGGACTGTGTTTTCTTTGTTGAACTTCACAAGGTTTGTGTTGGCCTCTCTCTCCAGCCTGTCAAGATCCCTATGAGTGGCAGCCCCGCCCTCCAACATACTATCCCCCTGCTCCCTCTGTTTTCACGTCACCCTCAAACTTATTGAGAATGCAGTCTGTGCTGTCATCCAGGTTGTAAATGAAAATGTTGAGTAGTCTTGTCCCCTGTATTGACCTCAGATGGATGCCACTGGCAGTGACAAGTTACAAGGTAGAACTGGGACTGAGGTGAGGCTGACTGGCCTGTGGTTTCTTGAATCTGTATTACAAAGGATCACTTTGTAATCTGCCTCACAAACGATACATTTTTCAGACACTTTGGGAAGTCTTCCCTAGAGTATTCCCAAAAGAAAGCAAAGCAGAAAGTTTTAGGGGCTTATGGACTTGCACTAGACACATCGGAGAGTCAGCAGAGTAAGTAGGAATTTGGTGTGGTTTTCTTTACCCTATCTGGTGTCTTCACTGCTGTTTCCTGCTCTTTCATGCCCTCCATCATCCATGCCACTGACCTGGCAATTGCAGAGAACCATACAAATTGCAGAAAGTCATTCTACTGGGACTGTCATCAGCTTCTGGCCTGCTTTGTTTTGCTCAATAGTTTTAAAGAAAGGACAACTGTACAGTCTTACTGCTGGAATCTCTATCTCTGCATTTAAAGAGCTGGGCAGCACTGTCTTCTCTGCTGAATTTGCTTTTTGAGTTTCATGGAGGATAAAGGAAGAAGTAGGTACCAGTTCTTGAGAGCAGTAAGTATGACTAGCACATTGCAGATCCATTTGGAAAAGTCCACGGCCATTTATTGCAGTTGCATGTGCACATGAAGCACAGCAATGTGCATGATTGTAGTGTGTTGCAGTGTATGGGAGCTGAATGATGGCATTAGGAGGTGGGCGCAGATTCCTACTTAGTTAATGAAGATGTTACCAGCTTGAGGGTGTTAGCTTGCCAAGTTTTAAAAACTCTTTTCTTTGAATAAAAGGAAATTAAAATCTTTTGCCCCTAGTTTGTAGGTGAAACTGTTCTTAGGCATACAGATGTTCAGCTAAGACACAGTGTAGGAGGGCCTTCCAGTGAGGTTAACTACAGAATGACTGAATAAAAGCAGTCTTCCTGGTTCCTTTCCAATGGCTCAAGGGCAGTGGTTTCTCCTGCTGGGACCTGATGGAGTTGGAGTTCATGATCTTTATGGGTCCTTTCCAACTTGAGGTATTCTATGATTCTATGACTTTGCTGTTTAAAGACAGAGTGTAGACTGACAGCCACACAGAAGGGGAGGGATTGGCAATAATAGGAGAATTGTAAACAATTTTATGGACATGTCAGCTTGATTCGCTGTCATGATCACAGAAGATCATCTTTAAGAGGAACTTGAAGATGGACAGAGTAGCAACTTTGTGTATGAGTTCAGAGAGGCCCTGCTATGATACTGTTTTCTCAATTAGCACTAAAAGGCGATTAACAGAATATAAGGTTAAAATAAGCTTGCTTTTGAAAAGAAAAAGTCTTTGTCAAGCTGTTAATAGCAGACAGGAAGCATATTCCATATGCCGGTACTGAAGGTGTACTTATAAGCTTCTCACCCTGACATCTAAGAAGGCAGCTGAGTGGCAGGTGTTTTAGGTGAAATAGCGTTTGTGTGAGATTCTGGTTCACTTAGCCTCAGTAGTAAAGGGGTTTGGATGAAGCGCTGTTTATGGGTTGTAGTTAGTCAATTGTTACCGAAACGGTTGTGCTGATTTAAGAAGTCATCTCAGCTGTTTGCTGGGGATGCGAAGGCAGCAGAGACATGCAGCGTGTGAAGGCTTCTCAACCATATTGCTGTAGTTGAGGCTGGGGAAGATAACCTTTCTCCCTTGAAGTTGGTGAAGAGCTCTTGTATGATCTGCCAGCTCTTGGATGATCTGTGGCGGCAGTAACACCAGCTTGAATGATTGTACTGCCTACTCCAGCTGGCTGTCAGCTTTTTAAGCTGGTAGAGCTTTTTCCTTAGTTATTGTCCAACAACTGCCTTAATGGCCTTTCCAGCGCCTACAAGCATAGCTCCCCAGAGAGGGAATTGTGTGGGGGAGTTCAGGAGGATTTTCCTGGAAAAGGGATGAATATTTGTTTGCTCTCTGTGGTTTTAATTTCACTAAGTCCCCTGCTGTACTGTGCAGCTCTGTCTCCAGTGATCCCAGCTGCTCTACTGGGTCTTGCTGGATATCACTTCTCATTGCTCTCTTCCCTTCTTAGGACACTGTTTAAGGAGAGCAGGCGTGTACACGGACACCTCACATCAGTCCTGTGAGTATCGCGCAGCATTCCTTGGAGTGATAACTGGTGAACTCCGTTCCCTGGGGCCTGGGTGGATCATGCAGGAGCACCTGAGCTTGGCTCCCATCAGATAGTTTGGCGCTGCTTCATTTGGGGAGGACTAGGGACAGTAGTTGTTTGTGTGTGACATCTCCCAACAACAGCCTTCCTGAGGTGCTTTAGCCTTGCAGTAAGCTCAAAGATAAGAACTTTGAAGCCAGGTTGCCTCCTGGCCTTGTTCAACAGACTGGAGTCAGGCCTCTGTGCTAGTCCCTGGGAGGCAGATCAAAGTAAAATGGAGTGTGATGCCAGCACTGTGATTATTGCTACCTGTTCAGTTGGTCCTTACTGGATTCTGGATTCCCTCTTTCTTGTTGCCTGGTTAAAGGAGGGGTACAATGAGCTCAAGCTAGTGAAGATGGGTGCAACAGGCTTGTGGGTGGCAAATCAAGAGAGCCATCGGAATCCAGTTGGGCAGGTGATTTAATGCCAAAGGGTCTCATGGATCTTGCTGGCAGTCTATAATAGATGATGATACTGTCGTGGTTTAACCCCAGCCAGCAACTAAGTCCTGTGCCAACTTCTTGTGCCCTTCCAGCTTTCTCGCTGGCTGGGCATGAGAAGCTGAAAAATCCTTGACTTAAGTCTAAACACTACTTAGCAACAACTGAAAACATCAGTGTTATCAACATTCTTTGCATACTGAACTCAAAACATAGCACTGTACCAGCTACTAGGAAGACAGTTAACTCTATCCCAGCTGAAACCAGGACAGATACAGACTTAGGCTGATGTCCATTTGACAGACGGTCCTGTTCTTGGCACTGGATGAGTGAAGGGAAGTGTGAGAAAGAGTATGAAATAGAGTGTAGAGTCATCCTTCCCTCAGCCATACTGTTCCAGCAGTTCAGGGATGTCTTGTACCAGAGATTGCATCTGGCCAGACCAAATGGTCTATTTTCTGTGAATTTGGCAGATGCTTTTGCATCCTTGACTTCTTCTGGGAACCTAAAAGAAATGTGTAACTTTTCTCCAAAACAGTCTTTGTATCAGTTTCTCTCTGGGTATTGCTATAGTAAGGTCAGCAGTGGGTTCCTGTAGTATCTCCTAGCCCTGCAGCCAGTGCAGGATTTGTCTGTTGAGTGCTTTCACTGCTCTGCTACCATTTCAAGACTCTGCTCCGCTCCCTAATTCATTCCCCTGTGTGGGAGTTGGAGCTTCCTAGAGCAGCAACCAAATGTCATGCTGTTTTGAATCCTAGCAACCTGAGATGCTGCCTCTGTTCCCTCGGTTCTTTGCAAAAGACTCAGTGGATCATCATTAACAGGGCCCAAGTGTGCTCCCTAATTGGATGCTTCCCTGCAGTCATTCAGTGAGCCATGTTTCTTTTGTCTCCCTCAAAACAGGGCGAAGAAGAAAGTTATAGCTCCTACTAAGGTGAAAGTGAAGGTGAGTTCTTTGTTTTCTGGTTCTTGTGGTTGACATATACCAAGAGTCAAGTGACTGCCATCTTAAATCCTATATTTGAGCCTTGTATCTATACATTAGGTTACGAGGAAGTTGTACTGTGAAATGGCTCTAGCCTGTATTGGGCTTGAAAAAAACACTACAACAGCAGCTAAAATTGATGGCAGCAGCAGTTGGGAGGGAGGTAGGGGAGCAGCAGGCACAGAAGGTGCTTATTCTGCCTTTTATCTGCAAATCGGGAACTTTCCCTTCCTTTTTCAGCAGTAAACCCTGCCTCCATTCTGACTCTGTGTTCTTTTGTGATTTTGTTCCAGGAATCTTCCTGCAAGCCTGATAAAAAGATGTCCGTTTCTGTTCCTTCGATGCACTCAAGCAGCACCTTAGCTTTGTCTTCAGAGCCCCAGGGCGGAGCTCTGGGCATCAGTGCCCAAACCAGAGAACTCTTGTCCCTTGGGACAGCCCAAGCAGCCAGCAGCACTGGCACTCCTGCTACCTTCATGGATGACTCCTTGGATGAGGACTTAATTCATAATCCCACTTCCTCCCTTGAAGCAGTCTCTAAGGAACTGGCTGTGCTGAACAGCAGAGCGGGAGGGAGCCCTGACTTTACTCTTCCTGGAGCTCCAAAAGCTCCATCAGAGAAGACCCCAACTCTTGCATCCTCAGAGGAGAAGAGGACATTTCCAAAGTCCAACCCTTCCCCTACATCATCCTCTGGTTCCCTTCAGTCTCCTCTAAATTTCTTGGCTGAGCAGGCCCTGGCATTGGGCCAGTCTTCTCAAGACAAAAAGACAGAGAACTCTAATTACAAAGAGCTCTCCTGCCAAGCCTCCCCCAGCAAAATCCTTCCTGATGCACACCAGACTAAACAGAAACACCACAGCCTGGTCCGGCCAAGCCATGGGCCTCAGACCTCCACCCCAGTGCCAGGTTCTCAGGTGAAGGTCTTTCACTCAGGCAGCCAGCTACAGAAAACTTTCACCTCCCCAGCTCCATTTGTCAAACTGCAGAATCCCAAGTCCTCCTCCCCACTGCCCCAACGGTCCCTCCTCCAGCAGGTCAAGTCATCAACCAAAGCTCAGAGCTTCCATTCCTCTGCATCATCAGGCAGCACCCAAAACTCCAGCAGCTCCCACAAGAGCCCAGGCTCATCCTCATCATCTCTCAGCTACACAGGAAAGCACTCAAGTGGCTCTAGCTCTTCAGGACAATCTTACAAATCACCCTTTGTTTCTGGTACCCTCTCCAAGCATGGGGCTTCTTCCAGCAGCTCCTCATCCGGAGCTTCTGCAAACCAGGGCTGCTCCTCTGGGAGCTTGCTGCCCAGCGTGCAGACCCCTTCCTCGGGCCAGGCGTCCAGCCGCCCATCCTCAAGCTCCTCAGTGAAGAAGACGCCTGTTTCGCAGAAGCTGACTCTGGTGGCACCTCCTGGAGGTTCAAATGGAGATTCTAGTGGGGGCACTCAAGGGGTGGCCAAATTGCTGACCTCCTCTCTAAAGCCAGCTGTTGTTAGCAGCACCGCATCTTCTACCTCTGTGCCGGTAAGCAGGGGTGTGCCATCCCAGCCTAAAGCCAGGAGAACGCATGGCGTTGTGTCAGGCCATCTCCTAACTTGTTCAGACCTGCCGTAAAGTGATGACTTCAAAAGAATTTCCTGAAATTCTTGAATGACTGTCTGGGCCTTGGTTGCTTATGCTGGGAAGTCCTAGCCTTTGCCCTGGGCTTGCGCTCCAGAATTCAAACTTTCATTTTCAGCTTAAAGTAACAGCTAAGCTAAATACTGTGGTACCTTCCAGGCTGCAGTTTTTGCATAGGCTGTGTAATGTTCCTGCCCTGACTTTTTGAGTTACAGGGACAGTAGTGCTCCCATTTGGGTCAGGAGGAAGTGCAGTAAGGCATGTTATCATGAGAGCTAAAAATCATGGCATAAATTAAAATTATAATCATCAATTTGTTGTTAATTAGGTCTGCAAACTTGGCCTTCCTTAAATTATCACAAGTAATTTTAGTATTATTGCCACTTTTTTCACGACTGACCTATAGAATAAATAACCTATGATACTGGGCTATAAACTCAAAATGCCTGCCCAGCTTGCTTTGGTGGTTATCTCTGTCCACTTTCTGTTGCTCCCCAGTTACTCCCATAAGCTACTGAAGTGATGTTTGGAATCGACCTCAGTGGCACACCGTGGAATTCAGAGTCTGACAGTTCATTGGGATATAATGTCTCATGAAGGACTTCTGGGTAACCTATACAGACTTGTGTTATTCAGCCCTTGTATTTAATGGTATGAGGGCCTTAATTTTCATCTATAGCAAAAAAATAATAATTCTTAATGCTGTTTTATTAATTTGTTGTTGGCTGCTCATACCTGCTTTCTTTTGTGGCATGTGGAAAGAGCTGGGCAATTAAATGATTATATTTAAATGTACCTGAAAACCACATACTGCTCAACCCGTGTACCTTGTCTGCTACTGAGATAGAGAGCTGAAAAGCATTACCCGGTGGTGTGTCTCTCTATGGGAGAGGTCTCGGATAACATTCTTGGGTGCAGGGGTACACCAAACCTTGATGCTTTGAGTTGTCAGCAGTGATATGCTGCCAAAAGTGAGTAGGAAGCATCCTCCCTGGAACTCGCAGGCAATGTGTAAGCTTTTCCTCTGCCTAATGGAGGCACAGTTTCAGAGTAAGAGAGAAACAGTGAAATCCAGTACAGTCACATTTAGAAGACCATAGCATCCAGCAGCAGGGTTGCCAGTGTCCTGGGCACCTCCAGGTGGCCTCAAGAGTTGGCAGCTCTTGGGCCCTGGCTGGAAGGGTGCTTCTTGCAAGGAGCAATTCTTGATTGCTCCATGTTTTGCAGTTCTTCTTTAAGTATGAATGGTGCCATGCCTTGGTTTTCCCACTGCTGACTGACCTTTTCTGTTGCTTTTCAGAAAGGAACTAGTGGAGCTGTGCTGCTAACGAGTTCTTCCTCCTTAAGTGTACTGGCTCCATCCTACAAGTCCAGCAATCCAAAGCTGCCAGCTGCCCTGAGCTCCACCCCGTTAGGTATTATCTCTCCTATTCATTCCTTCCCTCTTCATGTCATCTCCTTCAGTTCAGACTCCTCCCCAAAAGCAGGAGTATCAAAGGATGCAATAGTTACAGGACCTGCTCCAGGAACTTTCCACCATGGCCTTGGCCACAGTGAGTATCCTGCTGGTCACACATTTGTGTGTTACTTGTGCCTGTGCTGTCGAATAACAAGAACACCAATGCTCTGCTGTGTTAACCCATTGCAGACCAACCCATCTCTCTTGCTGTTGCTTCATGCTGTAGTTCATGCATCTGTATCTCCAGCAGTTGCATTTGGAGAATCTTGGGCACATCCCTATAGCTAGCCCAGAATTCCCAATAGCTGGAAGCTGAGCTATAGGCTAACTGCTGCAGCTCCTCTGCTCATTTCTGTCTTCGATGTGTATTTGTTCTTTTTTTTTTCCCCTCTCCTTTCTTTGTTTTTCTCTCTAGGTCTTCTAGCTGGCTTGCACTCCAGCCCCCACCATGCAGCGCCACTCCCACATTCTGCCCTGTCCACTCATTTACCGCAAAGTTTGCCAGGTAACTTGTCAGACGGTCGTGTTTGTTTTCTGCGTCGTGAGTCATCCTGTATCTCAGCAGATACTTCCTCTAGGGGTGAAAGCAAAGTGGTTGTCCACATTGTCCGACCGGCATGCTTGTTGCTAAAACCTGCGGCCTCCCTGAGGTACAAAGCGAGGCGTAGCCCTCTGTGTCCTTTACTGTTTAGTTAGCCAGGGCAAATTTGTGCGTTTCTGGAACGATGAGCCCTCAGTGCTTATAGCAAGTGTTGGTTCCTGGAGGTACTCAGCTTCGCTGCTTGCATCGTGGTGAAGAATTATCCTGCCAGGATTAAAGCTATGCATGTTTATACACAGTCTGCTAGGACTGCCCAGGAATGAAGATTCTGGCTCTGTGGAGTTTTGTTACTGGTGACCTGTATAAAATGTGTCAGACCAGAATGTCTCGCATCTGTGCGCTGAGCTAATTGCTTACATCTCCTTCGCGACAAGTTTGTGGTGTAAATGGAGACTGCTTTACTTGGTGTTGACAATGTGATGATTTTGCAGTTAAGCCTGTTCCTGCCCCAGTTTGATTCCTGCAAAGCAATGCATAAAACAAGAGATTTCTGAAGAACACCTTCTCTGCTCTTAAATCGAGTCCTGCCTGGTGGGCTGTGAGCATGTGTAAATATGTAGCACTGTGGAGGAAGGAGAGAAGTAAGGGGGATCCATGCAGCATTCAGAAAGTTGAAATGCAGGGCCGGCAGAACGGGCTTATGTGCTTCAGGGAGTTGCTTATCCCATTGGTAATTGCTATTTCTGCTTTCTTGAACAAGTGTTCTTTAGCACTTCAGTTCAGTGCCACTGTCTTAGTCCCTGCTCCTGTTGTGATTGTCTTATTAGGCAATATTGGCCTGATTTAGGAGTGGATGTGCTGGCCTAATACTGTGGCACTGAGGCCATTAGATGTGTGGATAACCTGCTGGAGTTCATGTGGCCTCCTGTAGCGGTCATGGGGTAAAATGCCCTTGACTGCTGAGCAGAGGCCTTGTTTGCTGAAGAAAGAAGAGTGCTGTGCACTAGTGAAAATTCAAAGAATTTGTTGTCTTTGCTTCTTTTGCTGAAGTTTTTCTGAGGCAGGTTGTTACATCTCTGCAATGTGGTGGAGCAGAAGAAGAAGGTACTAGCAGTGATCACTGGTGTGACAGACCGTTCCTTCCTGTTTGTAAATTCACAGTTAGTGGAGAGTGAGATAATTGAATTCAGTTTGAATGTGGATGTGAAGTGTATTCTGTGTCACCGAGGAGGAGTTCTCTGTCCTCTTATTTGAGAGAATTTAGAGTGGTTACTTCACTATTGCTTATAGGGCTTATAACAAAAGAATTTTTTGATGAACTGCTGCTCTTAAGCAGGACATAGTGCCAGAAGCTGTGATTAGACAAAAGGTGACTAGGAATAAGTGAGGAAAAACTGACCATTGAGACAGCTTCAGCAGGGACCTGCTTTCTCACTTGGTGTTTTCACACAGAGATTGGAGATTGAGCCTAGTGCTATCATCTCTGGGAGTATTATCTGTTGTGGTGCTTTGTAGAAGAACACAGTAGATACATTTTAAGATTATGGTCATCACTTAAATATTAATTTATTTTGTGGCATAAGCTCTGGTTGGCTGTATAAGCAGATGGCCACAGCTGCATTGCTCTGTCTGAAAGCTGCGAGGGTTCTGGTCTGTTGGGAGGTTGCTACAAATGCAAGGAAACATTGATGTCTTAAATGAAAGTGCTTATATCAGCATTCATCAAAAAGCGTTTGAGCAAGGAGCATCCAGTGCTTGCTTGTGTGTTGTCACTGCTACATTTGCTGGTGGAAGTGCCTGCGTGCTGGTGCTGTGGCAATGGTTCTGACTGCTCACTTTAGAAATGCAACGTGCTGGGACTGAGCTCTTGCATGGAAAGAACTGTCCTTGTCCTGGGGAAGAAGCTGTTGCTACGCTGCTCAGTGCCACTGCTGCTTAACCGCACATCTGAGTACACCCATTTGTTCATCATTGTCTGATGGTAGTTTTAATTGCTCCTGGAAAACTTCTGCTTCCTTAAACTTCCTTCCTTTTTCTCTCTTCAGTGCATTTTCTCTTTTCCCTCCAGGTCTGTTTCTTTCTGTTACTTCAGTGGCTAGATTCCTATGATTCCTGTTGCCATCAGTTGGCACCTAAAGCCTTCATTACAATGGCAAAGGTGTACTAACAGTATTATTTCAAACCACCTTTAGATACAAGGCAGCCAGTACCATGTATTTCTAGTTTCCTAGATGGGGAGACATGGTAGGGTGGCTTTTAAAGAAGAGCATAGGCTAGCTAGTCAACTAGCAATCTGAATCTATGCCATGGTGCTTTTGCTGGGAGGCCAGAGGAGACCCTCAGTGCTTCCCATGTCTCTTACTCAGGTGGAGAGGCAGGGCTGCTCTCAGTTGTGAGATATCTCCAAGCACATCCTCTTCTTACCCCCAGTTCCTTGGTGCTGGAAGGGAGAAGTATGTCTTTCTGTGCAGAGAGATCTGGCTGCCTCAGCTGCACGCAGCTCTGTGGAGCTGGTGCCAAACCCCCTTCCCACTTGGTTTTACTTTCTTTCAGATGCTTCTCAGCTTCACGGCAAAGGGTCCAATGCACAGCAGCGCAAGTTGTGACGTCTGCAAGGAGGGGAGCTAGAACACACATAGGATAAAACCAAGATGAACAGGTCATGAACTTTGGATACCGGCTGTGTCTTTTTTTCTTTTTTTTCCCTTTTTTCCTCACAACAACTGGAGAGACTGAACCGCAATGAGGAACTCATTGGTGCGTTTGCTCAGAGGTTTTTGGAGCTAAGCCCCACACAGAGGGCCACCTTGAGCCATGCCCTAATGAGAGAAGCATTTTGTAGCACTGTTTTATTGCTGCTGCCCTTCACGCATTCCCTGGCACTGGCAGGAGCTAGAACTTGCAGGGAGACTTGGGTGGATTGGCTTTCTTGCAGTGGATTCCCACCCACCTCTGTCTATATCTGCCAAGTACCTTCAAGTCCAGGTACCTCCTTGGTCTCCCAGTGGAGGGTATGAAAGGTGCTTCTTTCTTCTGCTTTGGATTTACTTGGATAATTCTAGCACTGCCAGTGCTTTCTGAAGATGTTTGACTAACTTTTCAATTGTACTATATAACTGCTACAGTTAATTGGAGGACTTAACATTTCCTGTGTGGTGAATCTAACGAACCACCTGATGTTCCCCTCTGGAGGAGAAGGAAGACTCTTTAGAGAGACATTTTAGATGCAGTCATTGACTTTGAGAATTCTACTTCTTTTGGGTTTTGGATTTTTTTTTTTCCTCCAAAGGGATGCTTTTTTCCTGCTCAGTTTTATCCTTATTACCATCGAATGCATTGGATTGAATGGGACACTTCTCAGCATGTCACATGTATAGGAAGACATAATTCCAGTGCCTTTTATGGTGGAGCAAGAATGGACTAGTGACACACATTTCAGCCCTATTTTGTGTGCTCCTCAACCCTTTTTTAATCATTCTGTATTTAAAATGTATTCTGTTTTATTTAATAGAGCTTTTTATGGTTGCACATCAAAAAAAAGCTGCACTGTCTGGACTTCAGTGGTGTCTTGGTGACTGCGAACACAGTACCAAATCCAGCAAGAGCACCAGTTCTTATCTGAGTTTGTGCAAGCGGGTTCCAGACCCTCCCCTAAAGCCATTCTTTCCTAGGGTCGTCAGTTATGATCTCTTTGGTGGGCAGAGGGAATGATCTAGATTAACCAAGGTCACTACTAGTCAAATGAATTCCAGAGAATAATATTGCTCTCCTTGATGATTTCTGCACTAGGATCATGTGCTTGTCACAGCTGCGGAAATGGGGACCATCTAGAATTGGGGTGTGTCTTTTCTTTTTAATTTTTTAACTCTTAGACATAAATACTTCTCCTCAGCACACCCTTTCAATCTGTGCATAGTTAAGGGCAGGCTGTGGTTCTGACTGAGGTTTATGGGTTTTGATTTTCTGCTATTCCCCAGTCTGCCTTTTCTCAGGCCCCCACAGCCACATCTGAATCGTGCAGTAGTAGCGCTGATCCACATAGACTTTACTGGTATTTCAAGCAAAAGCTTGCAGCCTTCCTTCTTGAGCTTTGGGGAAGGATGCTGACACTGAGTATACCAGCAAATATCTGCTTTAGTTTTCCCCATTTTTGGTAAGATCCAAGATGGACTGTTTTCAATTTGAGCTGATACATAATTTCCCAAGATCAGTGCATTGTTTGTATTTAAAAAAAAAAAAAAATGCAGCTCAGATTCAAAATTTGTTTACAGAAAATACCTAGGTTGTAGCAAAAGAGCCAAAGACAGAACTTGTGTTATTAAAACTAAGCACAGCAGTTATTGATGGACTCTGAGCAGTGGACGTCGCATGGTTCCCGTTGAAGGCCTAATCCTGAGAGGTACTTTGCACCTTCAACTTCCCATGGTAGCTGAAAGAGCGTTCAAACACCTGGCAGGATAGGGACTCTCAGCGAGTGACTCGAGGTACTGGTTCTACTCCCTCTCTTTGCTTTCACTTGAATGCTTCTGCTGGGAGGCACCTGTGTGCGTGGCCAGAGCAGAATGCCCTCTTTCTAGGAATTTAGCGAAGCCTCTTGCCTCAGGGAAATGTTTATTTGGTGGAAATTCTGTGGGATATTTTTTCTTTACATGCTATAATGAATGAGTGAATGGTATGGAGCAGAGTCGCAGCAAGGCAGAACCACGCAGAGACCCGACAGCTGATGGGGAGCCAGGAGTCTGGCATCTCTGCCTTGACGAGGCAACTTGCAACGCTTTCGTGACGGTGTGGGGAGGCAAGGCTCCCATGGCACGCACTTAGTATGGCAGTTCCTTTCGGGTGTAAGAGCTGCGGTTTACTATGATATTTTTTTTGTGTGTGTTGGGGCTGTCTTGCTGAAGATGGTGGGGGTGGTATGAAAACTGTTAATCTTGTACAGAACAACTGAATAAATTGTTTCAAACTTTCCAAAATGCTTTTTTTCCATCTCCTTACCTCTAGTTTCATGACTTTGTTTTCAAGAATTTGTGTTTCAGCTTGGATGATCATCTCTTGATCATCTGTTTCTTGAGTGAGCAAAGAATTATTTACTGTTTTAACTAAAATCTCTTGTGTGCTAAGTAAATTACAGCTCTGTTTCTAGCCATTGTGGTGGAAGAATTGCATATTCTCATTCAATATGCTCCTGCTGATGCTTGAAGTTGACATCTGTGGGAAAGAACATGTGGCATTTGGACCCTGGAGCAACGGTATGATCTTGTGTGATCCTTTCATTCACAAAGGTAAAATAATGGTGTTAATCCCCAAAGCCAGGGTGGATATGCAGTGAATGCTTATGGCTGCTTTTGTTGACAACAGTTTATTGGGGTTCAGGTATTAGCCAAAATTTGGGAAAAGGGAAATGAAAGTGCTGCAGTCCCATTTGTTAGTGCAGTTCACTCCCATCTAATGCTGCTAATTAGTCCCAGCTCTAACGCTGCTCCAGCAATTTCCCTCTTGGAAAAGAGTCAACAGCTAAAGTGAACAGTCTTATTTTTTTAACTTTGACTCTGAAATGGCATCTTCTTGTAAAGCCAAAGATTAAGAGACTGCCATAATTAATAAAGAAAAACCAACTTCTGTTTGGAACCACTGCATTTTTATTTTGTACTATAAATAGAATTCCCCTCTATTTCCCATTCCCTTACACAAGTAGATGAAACGTGTAGCTGCATGTAATTCCATCCAGTAAAATACCAGCACAAATGGCTTTTAACCATGAGGTAAGCTAACTGTGTTTCGAAGGCACTCTGCGCTTGGTTACAGTTGCATGCTTTACACTACCCTCTTGTGTTTGGCAATACTGCCATCTCTTCACGCACTTCTTGGTGACCTCTGTGGTGTATGAATGCTCCTCCTGGATCTACAGCTGATGCCATCAAATTACATCTGCTTCACTCTTCCCCAGCAGCATAGGCACACAGGTGAACAAAATGATGGTGTTTAGGTATTAATGTGGTGATACTGAATTGAGATGTGTAGCACACCTTTGTTTTTACAGAGCTGGTTTTCTCAGAGGACGATCCCATCATTTAGTCAGTTGTCCACGATGAAACTGTCTGGCTTACCAACATGCAGCTGACGTAACCAGCTCCTGCTGGTCACCTCGGAGTCATCTTGACCTTCGGTCTCTAATGACTGCTGTATACAGCTTTTTATGCGACTGCGTGAGTATATGTTGAGGAAACTGCAAGTTCTACTGTGTCTTTGGACTTCAGGTACTTCACTGTCCTAAGGCTTTTTGTCTTGTTCTTTGTTACATTGAGTGATTAGGTAGGGATGAAGAGGGGGAGAAGGTTTTGCTGTAGTCCTGACAAACATGTTTTCCACTACTGGTGGTGCTTTTCTGCAGTGTATGGCAGCAAGCAGTGTGGCTTCGTAGCATGGCTGGGGCAGAGGCTCTAGCATTTTGGAAGATGCAAAGGAGGGCAAGGATTTGCAGTGATCTGGTAGTCTAACAAGTGGTGCAGCTCTGACTAGCTGCTCTTCAGAAAAAGTTTCTAAAGTGGAGGGAGCGCTGTGTAATTACTTCCAGACACCAAAACTGCCAACTCCTGGATCGACATCTCCTTGTTGAGGTAACTGTTGTACTGAGCCATGGTTAGCCTTCCACTCTTCAAGGCATCTTCAATTGAGAACTCTCTACCAGACTTCCTGTCAAGGATCACAGATGATTCCCCATTGGGACCCTTTATTGAGATTTCCTCCCAGTCACATTCCTGACTCTTCAGTTTGACAAACAGGCTCCATTCGATGAGGCCAAACACATGAGCTTCCTCTGGAGACATTTCTTTTCCTGTATCGGGGTCAATGACCACAATGGAGCGCCTCAGGTGGTTCTCTCTTTGTTCCCTCTTGATAGCCACTGTCTTGAGGCGATTCTGGAGTTGCTCGATCTCTGCATCTTTTTCTCTGGATAACTGCTTCAGATCATCTAACTCTCTTTCCAAAGCTTGGAATCTGGAGTCCAGGTTTATTCCACTGTCCACGTGGGTGATGTTTCTCAAATCCCGAGCTTCTGTTGCTGTGAGTTCAATCTCTGATTGCAGTCTCCTTGTTTCCATCAGCAGGTTCTGTTTCTCAAGGTGTAGTTTGTGGTTTTCCTCCCTTAGTAAGTCTAGTTCCTTTGATGACTTGGAGTTGTTGAATTCCACCTCGGACAGCCTCGTTTCAAGGCGGTTGATATCTGCATCTAGCTCCCTCTTACGCCTGCTTTCTTCTTCCAGATTGCTCTTCAGCTTTTGAATCTCGTACTCCGTGTCTCCTTTGTCCACTTGGACACTCTCTGAAAAGACCACTTTCTCTTTGACCTCCATCTTCTCCAAAGAAAGGAGTTTCTTTCTCAGGGCTTCTAGTTCAGTTTGCAAGACTTGTCTCCGGTGCTTCTCTTCTTCTAGCTCCAGCTTGAGGAGGGAGTGCTCCTTCTCTTGCTGGGGATCTTGCTGAAGGATCACTTTCTGTTTCACAGTCACTCGTTCTGTTGTCTCCCTCTCCTGTTCTTCCAACTCATTCAACCTAATCTTCAGCCTCTGCACCTCCAGTTCAGCCTCTCTGCGGGCCTGTCTCTCTTTCTCAAGTTCTTCTAGCTGACGCTCTAACTCAGACCTCCTCCTCTGCAGCTTGCGGAGTTCTTCACGGAGGCAATCAATTTGCTTCAGCTCACTCTCAATGCTCTGAGAGAAGGAGTTGACTTCAGCTTTCAAGGCAGGATCTTGCTCATACTTCACTACTTCCTGTTGGACCACTTTCTCCTTCACCTGGGAAAGTTCTTCCTCCTTCTCTCTTACTTTCTCTTCTTGGAGTAGCCGCTCCCTCTCCAGGTCAATGTGCTTCATCTGTTCATCTGCTAGCTGCACTCTCAGAGACTCTACCTCCTCTCTAGTCTTGGGGTCTTCCCGAAACTGCAGAATTTCTTGAACAACTTCCTTCGTATGCACTTGAGGTTTGGTATCTTTCAAAGCTTGTATCTCTTGTTTCAGCTGGTAGATCTCAAGGTCAGCTCTTTCAATTGCTCCTGTCCTCTCTATGATTTCCTCCCGGAGTCGCTGTAGCTCCTTTTCAGTTTCTGGATCATTCTTGTACTTAATGACCTCCTTAATGACTTCTTTGACTTCTACCAGTGGCCCTCTGTTCCTCAGAGCAGCCAACTCATTCTGGCAGCTCTTCAGCTGTTCGTCACCACCTCGGTATCTCCTCTCTTGCTCTACCAGCTCCAAACGAAGGTTGGCAACTTCATTTTCAGCCTTGGGGTCTGGGCGCACAATCTCACGCACTTTCTCCTGGACAACCACCTTGGCGTTCTCTTCCTCCAGAAGCTGGATCTTCCTGAGCAGCTCAGCCTTTTCCCGCTCGTTGGAACGACCCTTGGACTTCTCATCTTCGTACTGGCGCCGGAGCTCATTCACCTCTCTTTCAATGGCTAAGTCTTTCTCTACCTTCAACACCTCCTTGACGGTAATTTTGCCCTCGGCGATGGCCCGTTCCTTCTCAAGACGTTTGAGCT